AGTACCATCTAGCTATGTAATAGGAAGTGTAGGTATGTTATGGAGAGAATACATGGGAATGAATATAGGAGCAAGGAGGGGACAGTCTACAATAAGTTTCAGGCCTCAAAGTAGATCAGGAAACAACAGCTTTTGTGGTGTCTTTCCGAGAAATGTCAATAGGGGGTATTGTGAGTAGTAACCACAGGAGGGGATATATGCCCCATAGTTTATTAGCCAGGGGAAGAGAAAGCAACTGAGGTGCAGAGGTAGGTGGGAGGAAATATAAAGGTCCAGGTTTCATTCCCAGGGGGGTGGAGACCAGTGCTCCTAGGTAGCAGGGAAGGTCTCTGCTCAAAGAGTGGGGAGAGCAAGTAGGAAGGGCAAGAAAAGGTGGCAGGAGAGCAACATCTTCCAGGGAGGAAAATAGAGAAGGAATCTTATGGAGTGTCTTGATAAGGCCTTTCATGCCAACAAGAGACACAGGAATGAAGGCGTGCACAGACACATGCATTTAAAACAGATTAGCCAGCTGCAGTGGCCAACAAGAAAGAATTCTATTTCCCAGACACACTCCCTCTAACCCTAGGGTACGTGGACTCACCTGCTCAGGAGACTGTGGCACCTGAGCCGCCTCATTTGGATAAACTTTACAGAGACACTGTGTCCTATATCAAAAGGGCCTGCTCACAGGGCTGTCCCAGATTTAGTGGTTTCCTCCCTGGGACAGTCTATCTTCCAGTGACCCCACTGTCCACAGTTGGGAAATGAGTTGTGAGTTCACAGCTGAAGCCCTTTGGTTAGGGCAGTTCCTGGCATTTTACACAGAAGCTGAAGCAGGCCTTGTCCCAGTGCCCTGTTCTACCACACCAGTAACAAGATCCCTGAGGATGGGGACTTGGCTTGCAATTAGGACGACCGAGGAAAACATCTGATGCTTTAATTGTTCATTTTTAACCTTTTGAGTCCTTTGTTGGTTGTCCCTATTGCTAAAGACATGAAAAGCCACATCAACGAGGTCTCTCTGGGGTCTGTGGATCACTATCCTAGTTTTGGAATCGGTACTGGAGGTCTGGGGCTTACTGGGGCATAAAGTGGGGAACAATCTCTCAGGGGAATTGGGATCTGTGTTGGCATTTTTTGTCATTGCCTCTGTAAAGCAGGCCTTAGAACAAGTTTCTTCAAGTCCCTGAGTGACCTCCTGAATCTTACTAGAGTTGACCTGATTAGGGCTGTTTCTAGTTGCCAACAGGCAGGGAGATCATGGATCCCCAGGTTAGTAGACTAAATCTGGGTTAGAATTGGGTCTAGGGATAGCCTAAGTAACCTTGGGTATTGCTGGAGCCTGGCAGTCCATCTCATCTGAACACTGCAGCAGTATGCTAAATACCTTCACCTGCATCTGGAAGTAAGGTTGAAGATAGAATGAAAGACCATGCCAGTTCAGACACAGAAACCCCTTACAGTATTGGGAGGGACTCTGAAAATTATCCCAAGCATTCCTCAGTCTGGCTAAGGTCTATTAGAAGGGCATATAAGCCCTAAGCAGTGGGGAAGTAGGTTTGGGTAGCACCATTGGAGTGTGGCGGGGGGAGAAGGAGCGAGAGGGAACATGGGAAATGAAGGCTGGCTGAAGGAAGGAGAGGACTCTGAGGGGGTTAGGGTGGAGGATCACAGTGACAGAGGAGGGAGCGAAGATGTGGCAGACTGTAGAGAGGGATGTTTTGTGCCTGGGAAGAGTGGAAAAAAGCATTACAAGGGAAGAGATCAATAAAGCAGAGGAGGAATCGGGGAAGAGGTTGCAGGATCAGACACTGCTCCCTCTTGGACTCACTGTCCAATTTATCCACCCTGTATCATCTTGAATGTCCAGTGAGTTACAGAATTCAGTGTAGGGGGAGAACTTACCCGTGCTGCTTCATGATACTGCCCCATCATGGAGCACGACTGAAGTCCACGAATTCCTGCTCCTTTGTCACAGGTTGAAGCCATCTGGTGAACTCGCAGAGGTCTCTGGGAAAGTTGTGATGTTTTGCATCTAGTATTTCTTGTACTGAAAGAGGAATGACAAGAGATTAACAATTATGTCTTACATTAACAGTTTTTATTAAATGTTAAAAAAAACCATCCTTTTTCTCCAGAGAATGCCAAGGGTAGGAGGGAAGAGATGCAGTGTAGCCAAGTGTTTATCATGATGGATCTTTGATCCTCAAAGGCGTCCGTTCTGAAAAGGCCTTTTAAGAAAGTACGCCATCAATTCTCAAGCTTCCTGACCTTTGGCCCCCACACCTTCCTAAAACATTTACTCAGTGACAAACAATGCATCCTGTACATCCAGATACTTGTGTCAACTCTGATTTAGAGACAAGTTTATTACAGGGATAGATGTGCATTAAACATTCATTATATGCATGCATATTACCATGTCATTACATCAATGAGTAATGAGCACAAGATTGTTATTCAATTCCATGAGAAATGGAAATACCTTTAACTTCAAAATGCTGTTAAATCCCATTTTTGTCCTGGACTAGACATTTGGCACGCTTCAGCCTTCACAAAAAGCCAGGAAAATCATGTGAAGCTGTAATATACCAAACCCTGTTGATGGGAGCAAAAAGCATATGTAACTTGCATCTTCTAGCAGGCATTTTGCATAGCTCCCAAATCTGCAAATTTATTAAATAAATCAACTCAAGTATATACACAACCATTTCAGTTGATAAACTACAGACTAAAAATATGGAATAATGAAAATATGTACAGAATTCTTGACAAGTAGTTTGAAAATTGCAGTTCTCTGACTTTTAAAAAACATTTTGTTAAACCATTTTGTTGAAAAAAGCAAAGAAATATCTTGCTGACCTAAGTCTAGAGGAATGAAACATGGAAAGATTCATATTAAATCATTGCAAATTTTGAGAATTACATTCTTTTTGAAATTTTTTAGCATTTTGAATAGCACCTCCCTGTTTATTCTCATTGTGTACCTAGAAAGTATCTCGTTTATTCTTGGGCTGTTATATTCTTGTTTTATTCTTTATCATCACTTACATCAGCCTCTCTTCGCTCACTCGTGCTAATGAGTTCATCTTCGCTGAGTCGCCTGGCTGCTTCTCAAGGACAGCCCAGTCAACATTCTTAAATCAGTAATTCTACTGTTAACTCTTTGACACTCTATTCAGAATTCACTCCATGGCCAACATTGTATGTGTCGGCTGCCCTTTCCAGACCAAGATAGCCTTTGATTTCTTTCTAATTGATAATTAAAAAAAGAAAAAAATCCAGTAACAACAAAGTTAGACCTGGCCAAAGCCAGGAGCTTCAACCAAGTCTCTCAAAGAGGTGACGGGGGCCCAAACTTTGAGCCATCGTCATCTGCTGTTCTTGCATCCCATTAGCGGGGAGCTGGGTCAGCAGTTGAGCCACCAGTACACAAACCAGTTTCCATATGTGCTGCAGGCATCACAGGCAGTAGCTTTACCTACTACATATAACAGCTGTCTCAAAGACAGTTTGATCCATGTTTGTAACATGCAAGTCAGTAATACTTTGTGTATGTGTGCCCTGAACAGATACACAGTGGCAAATGTTCCAGGTTTAGAAGTGATGTGAAGGGTCACTGATCGTGGTGCTGGCCGATTGCCAGTGAGTTATGGGGTAAAGAATAACTCCATAAAGTCTAATAGTTGCAAATGCAACCCATCTGATGTACGCCAATAGTGACAAACTGTGCAAGCTGAAATCTAAGCATATGGAGGCTTTGTACTGAAGGCTATGTTCAAATTACCTTATAGCATATGTGAAGTAATTGTATGAATTACAGATTAAAAGCATACATTATTTGAGTAGTCTCCCCTTAAGCATGGGAGTATTAAACATACAGTAAAGCCTAATTTATAATTTATAAGACACTGAATCATTAATTACCAAGATTTTACATAAATGTGGTCTCTCAAAATCTGTAACTTAGCCCTTGCCTCACTCAATGTAAAGTTTATTCAGTTTCTCTCCCTCTGCCACAAGTTCCTCTGTATCTAAGAGATACTTAGAGAAATTTCAAATCTGAAACTTTTTTTTTCATTCAAGATAATCAAACAGTATTTTTCCATCCATACTTTAAGAAAAAAAAACCTCTTCTTTCTGACCAATTTTTAAAAAGGCTATAAGCATTATAGAGTGATGAGAAAGAACCCATTATTTCAACCCAAGCTTCATGATTCAATACATTTTAATTCCTGTAGAAGTTCAGAATTGGAGCAACAGTTACTCACCTCCTTGTTCTGTTCTTTGCATAATGAACTACTTTATTCTAACCACTCGGTGTCAGATTGCAGATTGGCTTGCTGCTTAACCAAGCAACTGATCTTAGGGATGGTTTCAGGGGTGCACGCTCCCTTCTTTTTCTTGTGTGCTGTAAGATGAAAGGTATAGTCACTGAGACATGGTACACACGCTAGTACACAAGCAGTCTGACACAAGGAGGGCTAATGTGTGACAAACAAGTGTAGGAAGTACACTTAGGTGAACAGAGATGATTCATTTTCCAGGTGGGATGCTGCAGAATGCCACGACACTCCATCCTGCCACTCAACCCACAACTTAAATGTTATGAGTTAGAAGTTTCCAACTAATGATTTTTTAGGCTATAGTTCATCAAAGGAAACTAAAGCCAGATTAGGTGAACCTTTAGCTTGAAGAGGCTAAAGTATATCAAGAGAGGCCTCTTGTCATTATGGAACATAGATTAAAAACTCATTATTAGATAATGCATGGGTGCCAAAGGACTATAAATTCAGGGCAAGCGTAAATGTATAAAGCATAACTACTAAAGTGACGTCAGAAATTATAAACTTGTTAATCAGTTGGTTTTATCCCAATTTTTCAGAACGTGATTACATTCCTGAATCCATGTTTAAGGCTTATGTGAAATAAAGCAGTCAATTCTTAATACTTTATCTTTTGTTAAGCACTCAGCTTACCTTGTATATGAGAGAGAGAAGTGTTCCCGGAGATTTCGGGACATGACTCAAGTGCTGCTGAACATGCAAACACCGTTTTTAAAATAGTGTAACCTTCATTGTCGCTTTAGAAAACGTACCTTGAGTCAGGATGTGCAAGGGGAAGACTTGAGCAAAGCAATTTGAAAAAGGGGAGGAACTTAAATTTTATACATTATGATTACAGTACCTTAATGGATTGGGGCACATTTTTGTCAGCTGCTATTTGTTTTCAAATATGGTAATTTTTGCTCAATGTATTACCTATTATACTGATGAAAAAAAAAGTCCCACTCTATTACATGTCTTCTAATTCTATAAACACAGTTATAGCAATGGATACCCAGATGAATATCAGTTCCTGAGAACTACTGTAACGACTATAGTGAGAGACTTCTGTAAATTACAAATAGGTTAAATTGAACAATTCAACCATACTTTGAGTTTACTTGTATCAAATAACCATTGCTACGTTATTCCATAAGTTAACACATGTAAAGCCACTTAATATTTTTGGAAAAATCTTTGTACTAAATGAAAATCATGTGAAATGTATTTTGATTGAAGGCTCTTACATTTATGCTCTTTACTACTAGTATTTAATCAAGTAGATAAGAATTCAACAGTTATTGTGATGATTTTTACAGATACTCATAATATCCACAGGACTCTTTCGCAGATTTTATTTGAAAGAGATTTTCTATGTCTGGGTCTCTCCAAGTAGCCACAATTGCTAGAACTGAGTTGATCTAAAGCCATGAGCTTTTTCTGAGTCTCCCACATGGAAACAGGGGCCCAAGAATTTACACCATCCTCTGCTGCTCTCGCAGCCATTAATGAGAGCAGCCAGAAGCTGAACCAGCACTGACACAGGATGCCAGCACTGTAGGCGGAGATTTGGCCTATTATGACATGATGCCAGCTCCTCGTTAAATTCTTTGTATAATTTTGCATGGTTATAAATTTTAAAAGACTGGATAGCATCTTAACTGAATTAAAATAATATTCATGTTAAATTTTTTTAGCCTTGTTTTTAGCTGTATTCCTCCTTTAAAAAAAGAAGTAAAGGGATAGCTTTGTGTCTCATCAGGTTAAGCAACTACTTTTGATAACAGCATCCCATATGAGCACTGGTTCCAGTCCTGGCTGCTGTACTTCCCTGCTAATGTCCCTGGGAAACCAGTAAAAGAAACACTTGAACCCCTGCAACCAATAGGAGAGACACAGATGGAATTTTAGGCACTGTGCTCCAGCCTATTGTTGCCATTTGGGAGTGAACCAGTAGCTGGAAATTCTCTCCAACTCCTAAGTTAAATAAAATGATTCTTTGTACTATATACAGTATTGAGAAAACCAAGGATAAAATTAAAGATTGTGGATAGAATATTAAAAATTAAAGTATTCACACTAGGTAAACTACAAGTACTTACAGTGTGGATACAGTGAAAGGTGGTCCAAGGCGTCCTAGACAAGTGTTGGCTGTGAAGATCTCTATGACAGAAGGAAATGAAACTGTGAGGTTATCAAGGGTGATAGAGTGAAAGGGAGAAAAATCTGCCAGTTACACAGGTGCAAGGAATTCAACAGCTCTGGTGTATTGTGAAAGGACTCTGAAATTTCCCTCGCGGTACCAGCTTTCCCTGTAACGTTATCTCTACCACTCCTTCAGCTATGTGCCATCCACACTGTGCCTTTACCTTGCACTTTCTAAGAAGTGGAAACTCCGTTCCACATAGTTTTGTAAATCGCATTTGTGCTGTGCACAAATTTTCTCCAAGATGAAATGGGGAAAACCTGCATTCTACCAAGAGAGATGGGTATATTTATTATAATATCCACTGGCCATAGAATATTTTTAATTTAAAAATCAGCATGCTATATAGATTTGTTGAATTTCAGCCTCAGCCTGCAGTTGCTTTGGCATGGCCATACCAAATGAACTTGCTCATGCTCCAAACGTTCCCTTCACACAAGGGAGTATATACAAAGGCATGGGCAGAATATTAGAGAAGCAGAAAGAATAGCGAACTAATCTCCCTAGCCCAAAAGTAACCAGGGTAAAAGTCACCAAGTAAGGGCCTCTGGGGGGGAACTGGCTTGTAGCTACATGACTTAGCCAGTGATATGTGAAACCACAGAACAGACCAGGTTCCCCTTCTCCTAAATGGTCTCTTGCTAAAATCTTCCGTTTCTCCTACTACAGCGACTGCTGGAATACAGAGCAGACTACTGATACTACCACAAAGATGAGCCTATGCTAGCAGAGAGTCTGCAAAGGCAGAGAAAATGAATTGAGATTACATACAGGATCCTGCACAGTCGCATGCATCTGGAAGACCATTATGCGACAACTTTCATTAGTAGAACCAATAAAGTCAGCTAGGGCAAACAATACAGGAAAAGCTAATGTTTTCAATGATTGAAAGTGATTCTGCACTTGCAAGATCAAAATAATTATGCAAAAATCCTTCATGAACAGAGTCAGTTGCCTTGATTAAAAACAAAGTACTAAATAATCTCTATTACTATTAATGGGAATCTATCCAATCCCACTTAGAACACACTAAAATTAAACACATGGGAGCAAACTTATATAATCTAAGTAAGATGATTTGAATACTGGGAAACACAGGAGCTACATAATGAAATTGCAGTTAGTAATGGCCTGCATACATATATGGCTTTGTCCCCACAGAATTATATTTCCTTGTGCTACTGTAGCCAAGCTAAGTTGCTGTAAGTGAAATCAGAGGTTCGCATGACAAAAAGTTGCCTACTAATGTAGTTTTCAGAACACATAGCCATTATAGAAACAATGTATGGCTATATTCCATTCGAGAATAGAAAGGATTGTTATTTCTTAATGACTTTCTGTGGTTTTTTTTCACCCCCACAAACTTACTGAGATCACACTAAGTCAGCAATGTGTCCACTATTATTTCTAGAGTTCTGTGTCTCTCTTAAATTTTCTTCCTTTAGGAAATATTTTTCCTCTGCCCTCCAGTGGAATATAGAATGAGCTTTGCATTTATGCCCAAAGTGATAACTCCAAGCCATATAAAACCATGTGGATACAACTTTGTATGTACTTCGTTTAACTGTACTCCAGGACATATCTTAGGTGAACAAAGGAATAAAAAATTTGCTTGTGAAAAAAACTGTCTGTAGTCATAGACTCGTGAGTAAATACGTGCATGCTGGAGGATTCTGGTTGGTCTCATTTGACAAATTAAAATTCTGATGCTTAAAAATAATGCATTATCTAGACTAGCGGCATAACTATGATTTAGCCTCATGGTTACTGACTGTACTTCACAAGCTTTTTCCAGTACATCTTAGTTACTGCTCGGTTACCCGTGATGGCATAAAGCCGACTAGGTGTTTTTATGTCATTGATAGAGGTAACAAATCTGTTCCAGAACTCACCTTATTTTAAAACCATATATTTTTATGGTGTCATTTCTTAGTGTGTGAGCTTCTCAAGGGCAGTTGCTCAACATTCATCTTGGTGACTCTGATCATAGGACTGCAGGTTGTATCAGGAAAAAATGGGGTTTTATACACCTAGCAAAGAATCTTACAACAGAAATAATAGTAATATAATGCCTTTTATCTGCAGGCAACGTGAAACTTGTAATCTGCCTTTGCTTGCTGTATTGCATCAGTTCTCTAACACCTAAGATCAAATAAATGAGTGACCTTGTACCCAATACCTATTAAGAGCCAGTAAAATTAAAAAAAACTGCCAAGTTTGAGTAACACATATTAAGTGTGGATCTCTATTAAATGACAGTCTGAAAGTTTGAGCCAATGCATGTGTGCTTATTTGCAGGCCGCTCTTCCAAAGATGCAGTGGGTCAGATCTCTGTTCATGTGGACATCACTGCCACCCCAGGAACCGGAGACCATAAAGTCACAGTCAAAGGTATGTCTCCAGCCCACAGCCGTCAGACAGCCTGTTCAGCTTCAACTTCCACAGTACTACTGATAATGAAAAAATCCAATTACTCTTCTATTGTTAAATACAGTGTATTATTATATTCAGAATTTCTTCATGAAACCAGAAAACTTCTACAATTGACGCTAGCACAGATTATTGTCCTATATTACTTAAAATACATAAATTATCCAAGTATATGAATAAGGTTCTAACGTGTATACATACATATGAGATCTATTCTGGGGCTGAAGCTGTGACATACATTGAACATCAGTACTATCATTGGCTCCACACCATGTTGATCACACTCTTAAATTCTAACTCACTATGGCTATTCACATAATCTACTTATGTTTTTACTAACTCATTTCCAAAGACTGGTTTCATTTATTTTCAAATGAGCAGCTCTATTTGTTTTAAATGCTCCCAAGGGCCAGGATCATTTCACGGGTAAAACCTAAAGATTTATTTTCACTATATCCATTTCTATTTTTGCATAATAGACTTGGTAACTTTTCGGTAGTAGCCATTTTGAATAGAGGCACAGCCTCTCATTATTTTATAATACAAAGATATGCCACGTATTATACACTAACAATGCTGCACCAGCTGGGGACACATATCTGGATATGCCTGTCCTCAGGGATTCCTTTTATTAAAAATGACTTCATAACATAGGTTGTATTCTTACTCAAAATGCCTGAACCACAACTGCTTCAGATTTCCACTTTTTTTTTTTTTCGATTTTGGAAAAATCACCAATGGAATATATCTAATTAAACACTCAGATACTCTCAAATCCACATTTTTTTTTTCAGCATTGGCATTCAAAGTTTCAGATTAAAAGATATTCAGCCTGTGTATACCAATTTGAATAAATTTATTTTTGTGCTATCAATTCTAAGATTCTTTTCTAAATATATCCTCCTCAAAGGCTAAGCAAACTTATATAGCATATTTATTCAAGAATTATTCATGAAATCTGAAAATAGGAAGTGGCCATTGGCTAACGGTAAGTGGCTGGTTAAATATAGGATGAAATATCCATGCAGATAATCCTATCTCAAACATAATTATTGAAGGCAAAACTCCAAAGTACCAAGCCATTGCTTGTGAGTGGTGAAAAAACCTTGATTTTCATTTGAAATATATCATGATGTACACATAAGTTTTATAATTAAAATATGCCATCTTTTATCTAAAGAAAAACAGTGGCTATTCAATAGTACAATGTCATTTTGATTCCACCTGTGCTCATTATGCTAGTACCATACCACTAAGCTGAAAATTCTAGCAAATGGGTATTTGAGAAAAATGCTTTCAGAAAAGCAATTTTTTTTTCAATCAATGGGATTATGGTGCTATCAAAGAATAGTCAAATCCTAATAAATCATATAGCACATAAAAATTTGTTCTACATACCAACTGGGAAATGCAGTTGCCATATGTATGTATTTTTAATGCAGTTTCTTGTTTTCCTCCCTTTTTATTTTTGCAGTGATTGCTATCAATGATCTGAACTGGCAGACCACAGCAATGTTTCGTCCCTTTGTGGAAGTTTTCATCCTGGGTCCCAACCTCGGAGAAAAGAAGAGAAAACAAGGCACAAAGACGAAGAGCAACACATGGTCACCCAAATACAATGAGACCTTTCAATTGTAAGTCAAAACCAAAACCCGTTCATTCAGCCATACACAGTAGCTCTTGCACAGCGTAGCTTATTCGGGGACTCAGAGTGAAAACAGATACCAGCTGAAGCACATGTTTTCATTGCAGGCCCCAGGCCAATGACGAAGGCCAGGTTCATCATTCTGTCTCTTCTCTGTTCAGTGTCTGCAATGCATCCAGCAGTGTTAGCAGTATAGGGGACATGTGCTCTAAGGTCTTTGCCTTCAGGGAAGTTTCAGAGATGGAGATGAGAAATACTGGATAAAAATGGGCTGTTTGTGTAATGGATGCAATGCAGAGACTGATGCATTACTCCTCCCAGCTCTGAGTGAGCAAGAAAGCCTCTGGGTCAGTGATCTTAAGGAGCAGAGAAGATAGGGGTGCATGGAGAAGGTTTGAGAGCATTCCAGTCCAGGGAACAAGGCTAGTTTGAAGCCTCTAGAAACAGGCCGGATAACACTGAAGACTCTGGTCAGGGCAAGATGAGTTTGGAGAGGCAGCGAGGACAAATCACATGGGGCTTTGCATTGGAAAGCTCAGGATAGTTTTACAGATGCAGATCAGGTTATCTGTCTCTTCCCTGTAAAGATTATTCCATTTGATGTGCAAACAAATAATCACACAGCAAACTAAGACCCACAATGTCAAGAGAACAGGAGGAGACTGCTCTAACAGTCCAGGCCAGAGATGACTGAGACCAAGTGGGGACTGTGTCCTCCACAGGCTGTAGAGGGCCTGCAAAATCATTTGGCCTAGCCTTGCATGGCATTGGCAGGAAGCATTGAAAATTCAATACACCTAGAGCAGCCTAATTTATACATGATGATTTTGGATGGCCCATAAATGATGCTTGGCAGGAAAATGCACTCCCTACCTCTCGAGGAAAAGGGAAAGGAAATGAGAGCAGTCTGCATGTAAGGAGACGCTTGTCACATACAGGACGTAAAACACAAAAGCAAGAGTATATCGGATTGCTAGGAATAATTAATGTAAGATAACTGAACAAAGAAAATTATCACAGGGGGGAAATTTGCAAAGATGTGAGCTGAGGCATGCTATTTCTACTGCCATGTATAAAGAAAGGAGAGACTCAGCCATTGCTGAAATAGGGAAAATAAAATCTTTGTTGTTGACTTAGGCATCTTAAAAGGAGCCATGGGGCTCCATGGAGGGCCAGCCTCAAACACTAGCAGAAAGGGTCCTGATGACCTGCAGGCTCCTTACAGGACCCCCTTCGGACCAGAGTCAGTAGGAAGTCAGTTCATGGAAGCATTACCGAGAAAGCACTGCAGCCTTTCCTTTTCCAAGTGTGAGAGGCTAAGAGAGCGGATCTACCAGGGCGAACAGAAGGTAGTTGCTACTGAATGAAACAAGAGTGGCCCCTAGCATTTTAGCATGAGTGATTGAGAACATTTACCCAGATATAAGCATGACGACAGGATATTACATCAAGGATTTCATTTTAAACACATTAATTTGGAGGTGACTACTGGATACCCAAAAGATGTTATCAAGTATGTAGTTGGATTTAACTTGATATACCACTTAGTGCCATAGCTCTAAGTGAGCTGACCCAAGCAGGGAGACCTACTGGGTACCTAGGACAGAGCCCCACTGATTGCATACACATTCACCCAAACAATTCCTTGCGCTGCACTCCTGCCTTCTCACAGATCTTTTACAATTTTTAACTTTCTTACTACTCAGACTTTTAATTCATATTAGACAATAGTGAACTAGTATCAGTAGACCCTGTTAATAAACCAGTTCAAAAGATTGCACCGACTTACCCTTCCAAATTACAACAAAGCATTGGTCCAATTAAAAGATCTTTAAAGATACTTGGCACTACCTTGATCACCTAAAAAGCATAGATGAAACACTGTGAGCTACCAGCACCACTATTCTTGGAAACATGGCTGAATTTAAATTCCCTAGATGATCCGGTTTCTATTGTCAACCTGCATTATTTTACGTTTTCTCTCAAATGAGCACACTTTAGCCATTAGTACCTGCGACATGAGAAAGCTGCACCCAGAAAATGTTTCACTGGAAACTTGGACTGCAGAGAACTAGATGTACACTCATTGGAAATGCAAGGAGAGATGAGAAGGAATGAGAGGAAGGGTTAGAGGGAGATGATTTCCCGCGGACCACCACTCAGCTTTCCTCACTATGTTAGGCTCTACTCTGACAAGCTGTCTCAGGTCGTTACTGGCCAAGGCCATCCTGAACCACACTTGACACGTCTAACTGTTGCACAGAAAAGCTCTGACCTTGAAGTTGCAGTCTGCGGCACGTGATTGCCTAGAGTACTGTATCCACTCTCGCATCTTGTGACTAGTGCTTCGTGGTCTGTGCAGTACTTTCCCAAGAAAAGGCCGCTGGGTGTAACAGCTCATCCAGGTCTCTGCAGTCAAGAAGAGATTATAGTTCCCATGGCTAAATTGGCAAAGAAATTCTTGCAAGCAGTAGTTATCACCATTGTACCCACAATTTTGTTACCCCTGGGTTGTCAAGCCTCTAATCATTAAGCAAAGCATAGTCTTTTAACTCTCATTTCTCATTTTAAGATAGACTGATGCTATACATATAGTATTGTAAGCAATTTATACAATTCTCAGCACTATTTTAGAAGTATGTCGATCTCCAGAATGATGTCAATTTTTACTCATCATTTTCATTTTTACTCCCTGCAGCACCCTGGGTAAGGAAAACCGTCCTGGGGCCTATGAACTTCATCTCTCTGTTAAGGATTACTGCTTTGCCCGGGAAGATCGAATTATTGGGATGACTGTGATTCAGTTACAGAACATAGCAGAAAAGGGCAGTCATGGGGCATGGTACCCTCTTTTGAGAAGCATCTCCATGGATGAAACCGGTTTGACTATCC